AGCAGGACAGGACCGGCTGCGCCTTCCGCCCCGTCTGGAAGGACGGATGCCCTCCATCCATCCATCCATCCATCCATCCCCTCCCTCCCCCCACATTGCGCAGGTGCGGAGCGCGGAGGAGGGGGCCCCGCCGGGGGAGGAGCGGCTCTTCGCCCTCAAGCGCCTGCGCAAGGACCACGTGGTGCAGAAGCGGCAGCAGGAGCACGTGCTGATGGAGAAGGCCGTCCTGCTGCGGAGCCGCTGCCCCTTCATCGTCCGGTGAGCCCTTAGGCGGGGCCGGCGGGCGGAGGGGCTGGGTGGAGAGGGAACGGAATCCTGCAGGCCCCCCCAGTCCTGCCCGTGTCCCCCAGCCAAGCCTGGTGCCAAGCACGAGGGGGGCTCTGGTGCAGTCACCCGGGGGTGGGGGCGGCGGCTTCCCATCCCTGCCCAATTCTTTCTGCCTAAGGACTGGGGGAGGAAGGAAGAAGTCCCAAGGCGCTCCTGTCCCAGCGTCAGAGAGTCCCCCTCCCTCCCTCCCTCCCTCCCCTCCGTTACTCCCAGCATCTGAGGTGGAGAAGGCAAGGCTGCAGAAGCAGCGGGTGGAATCCCCTGGGAAGCAGCAGCTCTTCACGGCCTCCTCTCCCTCCCCCCCAGGGTCTTCGCCACTTTCCGGGACAGCCGCCACGTCTACCTGCTGCTGGAATTCTGCCAAGGAGGGGAGCTGTGGGCCAAGCTGCGTGAGGTGTACGGGCGGGCGGACATGGCTGTGGGTGCGGGGAGGCCGGTGTGGCTGAACAGGGCATCCCAAGAGGGCCAAGTGGTGTCTGGAAGCGGGGTGTGTGTGTCCTGGCTGGAAGGCCCTCTGGGAAGGGGGCACTGGGGAGACGGCTAGTCAAAGATCTGGGTACAGGGCATCAATGCCGAGTGGGAAGATCAAACAAACCATGAGGTCACTGGCTCCTCTTTCAAAGCTCCCCACCATCTCAGCCTGACCCTTGAAACAGTTTTCGGTAGCTCTGAATCCCCAAAATACACATTCCTTGAGTATTTATTGGGGGGGGAGGACAAAGCAGGAACCTACGTCCCCTTTCCATCCTGGAGAGGCCAGGCTTTACCAGTGGGATTAGGTGAGGACTATCCAATTTAGCAGTTCGAAAGCATGTAATAATGCGAGTAGATAAAGAGGTACCACCACAGTGGGAAAGGTCACGGCGTTCCGTGTCTAGTCGCACTGGCCACGTGACCACAGAAACTGTCCTCGGACCAGTGCTGGCTCTACAGCTTGGAGTCGGGGATGAGCACCGCTCCCTAGAGACGGACACGACTGGACTAAATGTCAAGAAGAACCTTTACCTTTACTAATCATATACTGGGAGCATGCTGTTCAGATGCCTCTCCTACCTGCCTGCCTGCCTGTCTGTCTGTCTACCTACCCACCTACCCACCTACCTACCTACCTACCTACCTACCTACCTACCTACCTAATCTATCTATCTATCTATCTATCTATCTATCTATCTATCTATCTATCTATCTATCTATCTATCTATCTATCTATCTATCTATCTATCTCATCATCATCATAGGCATCCTTCAGTCTCGATAGACTATAGTAACATGCTCTGAATTGAGGAGTGTTCTCTCCAGAGCATGAAGCCCGGGTAAGGTAATATGGAGGATAGGCTGTTACCCAAGCAGCAGATCCCCCCTTTCCACGTTGCTGAAATGGTCCAGTGGAAAGGCAAGAGCCAATACAACTGGTTCTCTATCTATCTATCTCCATGCCTTTCTCCTTAAAAGAACCCAAGGCGACTTACATCATTAAAAGACAATATTAAAACTAACAATGGTGAGTATACATATACTAAAAAGGATCAAGCAAATGCCATGTTAAAAAAAAACACACACTCAAAGCTGGGAAGTATGACAATCCATTTAAAAACCCCTCTCAGCCATTATAGAAAAGCTTGCCTGAAGAGACAGGTCTTTGCATGCTTGCAGCAAAGAGGGCCAGCCTGGCCTCCAGTGGGAGGGAGTTCCAGGGTTTGGGAGTAGCAGCCAGGAAGGTCGTCTCTTATGTCTCTCCACCAAACCCACCTGCAAAGGGGGTGGGACTGAGAGAAAGGCCTCTCCGCATGCTTTTAATCAGCCAATCCAGGGAGACGTGGTCCTTGAGAGATAGCTGGGCCAGGACTGTGGGGTCAGGGTGAAGCCTTCCGGGTCTGGCGTGGAGAGGTTGAAGGCCCCCCCCCTAGGGAGGCCCCTGAATGGCTCCCCTCTCTTGGTCCACCCGCTTCCCGCCTCTCCCTTTAGCCGCTGCTTCTCGGAGCCCGTGGCGGTCTTCTGTTCTGCCTGTGTGGTCGAGGCCCTGGACTACCTGCACGCCCAAGGCATCGTCTACCGCGACCTGAAGCCTGAGAACCTGATGCTGGATGCCCAGGGTTACATCAAGCTGGTAACCACGCTGTGGGGCAGGGGAGGAGGGTGGGGGGGCCCCTTTTGGGCAGAGAACGGAGCCCTTGGGCTTGGCCTGTCGTAGACTCCTTGAACCGTGGTAGGGCTGGAAGGGGCCGCGGAGTCCAACCCCCTGCGGCCCAAAGCGGGAGACCTCAGACCATCCTGGACGGAGGGCGGTCTCCTCTTTTCTTGAAGACCTCCAGCGATGGGGCACCCACCCCATCCGGGGGGGGGCTTCCTCTGTGGGAGAGAGGAAGCAAACTGTGACACCCTGTGCAAAGATACGCGTGGGGGAGCTGGCTCTCCACCTCACCCCACCCCAGATGTCTCTCTGAGGGATATGCCTCCTTCAAGGAAAGGAGTGTTTCTGGGGCAGGAGAGCCTGTGGGTCGGTGGGGTGGGGCCCGAGGTCCTGGGGGCCCAACTTAGTCTTTGTCTCCCGGCAGAGAGTAAGGACACCCCTGGGGGGGGGGAGCAGCCGCCTGCAGACCTTTGTCCAACTGGGGGTCACTAGAAACCTTCAGGAGGCCCCCAATGAGGGTGTGTGTGTGCGCGCGCAGACACAGACACACGTGTCTCTTTTTTCTGCCCCTTCCACGGAGCAGCGGGTCTTTACAAGGGCATCTGCCCTCCACTTGGCTGACTCAGTGAACGGGCCACAATATTCCACCACTCCACCCTGATGAACTTGCCTACTCTCTCTGAAGTCGGCAGCCTTTCACCTGCAAAGGAGGGGCGGGGGGCGCGCTCATGGTGCACCCTCATTTGGGTCTGGCTCTGAAAGGAGAGTCAGGGGCTGCTGCTTTCCCCTCCACTCCCACCCAACAACTCCCCCTTTTGCTTGCTCCCTTCCAGGTGGACTTCGGCTTTGCCAAGGCCCTGAAGCGTGGGGAGAAGACCTACTCCTTCTGTGGGACCCCTGAGTACCTGGCCCCAGAGATCCTGCGTCACGAGGGCCACGATTTTGCTGTGGACTTCTGGACCCTTGGCGTGCTCATCTTTGAGATGCTTGTAGGACGGTGAGGCTCCCCCTCACCCCCAGAGGCACCTAGGGGGAGGGGGGAGGGGGCCCCCAAGGCAGGACGGGGACAAACGATGGGGAGGAGGTGGCTGAGGACTTGGAGGCAGGGGGCCCACCAGCCGGGTCTCCAGAAGGCCCCTCCTGAATCGCTCCCTCCCCTGCAAAGGAGGGAGTCCCACTGTTCTGGGAGTCAAAAAAGCCACGTCCTTCCTGCCATGGCTCAGCAGTGTCGGAGAAGGGGCGGAAGGAGTGGCAGGGAGGCTGTCCCTATGGGAGGGGGGCACTCCCCACTTCCTCATCACTCCCCCCACTTCCTGCCCTACACAGCCCCCCGTTCCACAGTGCTGAGCCTCAGAAAATCTACAGCAAGATCATGGACGGCGTCTTCTCCTTCCCAGTCTTTGTCAGCGAAGCGGCCTGCTCCATCGTGGCCAAGCTTTGCAGGTGGGTCTCCCCGCTGCGACCCAATCCGCACTGAGCTGAGGGGGGGGAGAGGGGTGCTTACTCTGAGGTGGGCTCTGCTCTGACTAGGAAAGCACGAGGGAAGGGCAGGGCAGGTGGGCACCGTGTCCTCTTGAACTCACGCATCCCTGCAGCAAGAATAGAATCCCGGGCTTCAGACCGGAAGGAAGGGGGTCCCGAGGGGGTTATCGGGTCCAGCCCACCCCAGGGGCAGGATTGAGGGCGGGGAGCGCTGTTGTGCCTTGCACGTTGTTGCAAATATTCGCAAGGTGGGAGAAAAGGATCCACAGCGGAAGTGCTGTGCAGACCAGCACCCTCCTTGTTCCAGGCTGCTCACCCCCCCCCAAAAAAATAGCAGGTAGAAGCCGTTAATGCGAACCTTGAATCGTCACATTCAAGACAGAAAAGCCCCCGGCCTGCTGCTCCTGAGTGGGGAGACGGCTGCCCTCGAAGGCCAAGGACCGGCGTCCCTTGGCTGATCCTAGGCTCCCCCTTAGAACCTCCGAGGGGGGGGGCACCCCACAGCCCTCCCCACCCAAAGGCTCCCGTCATGGGTTCCTGCCTTGAGCAGGGGGGGTTGGACTCAGTGGCCTTGCCTTGTTCTAGGAGTGCGGGATCCCCCCCCCCGCACAGAGCAAACCCCTCCCTGCCATCCATCCGCCTGGTCCCACGGCCTGGGGGGCCCTGGGATTTTGGAGAGGTTGATGCCGTTTCCCCAGAAAGGGTACCTTTCTCCTGTTGCTGTGGTGGGGAGATGGTCCCCCGCTGCCTACGCTGCCGATGCTATGAAACGTCAGTGCGTGTCAAAGGCCTCCTCAGAAGTAAGTTCCGCTGAAAGGACCCTAGTCCCAGCCCAGATTCTGCTGGGGGGAATCCTCTTTCCATGATGAGAAGTTATTCTGAGGCTCAGCTTTTCTTCTTTGCCTTCATTGTTAAACCATAAAAAGGGGGGGGGGAGCCGTGTGCAGCTCCCCCCCCCAGCCTTCCTAGGATCAGAACCCAGCCAAAAAACGTATTATTTTTTAATTGCCTCCGAAAGCCCTTTCCTGGCCTCCAGCACTGGGGGGCCTATAAAATGCAGCAAAATAGCTCTCGAATTAAAACATAAAAATAAATTAAACATGTGTTTGGCCACTAGAGGGCACCAGGAGGCTTCCTGTGGTTAAAAGCTGCTGTGCTGTGAGAAGAATTGGGGGGGCAGAGTTCCTTGGGGAGGGGGCCTGGACCTCTGGAGGTCGCCCACCATTACTATCAGGAAAACCAACCCTTCCTTTGAACCCGTGGCGAAGGTTGTGCGCACGTGTGTGCGTGTGTGTCTGTCTCTCCCCTCCCCTCCCCTCCCCCCCCCCGGCAAAGGAGAGCCTCTTCTCCCCACCTTCACGACAGGCGCCGACCAGGACAACGGCTGGGCAACACCAGCGGAGGGATCCGGGCCATCCGGAAGCACAGGTGGGTCTCCCGGGCAGAAGGCTGGGCAGGAGGGGAGGAACCAGGAGAAGCATGGAGCGGGGCCAGGGTAGCCGAGAGGTTGGAGCGACCATTGGTCAGCACTCCCCGAAGGTGTCTGACGGCCGCCCTCCACCACCGCCACCCATCCCCACCCACCCTTTCACCTCTATGCGTGGAGGCTTCATTCATCTCTCTCAGTTAGCAGCACCCTCTACCAGCTGTTTTCCCCACTGATTGTCTGGCCCCCTTTCCAAGCAGCGGTGATTACCTTTCTTGGCAATGTGTTCCAGAATCTCCTGTGGCTCTGATTTTGGGGGGGGGGGGGTTCCCTGGGCTGGTCTCCTAGCCACCCTCCAGGCCCACGAACCCAGTACGGTGGTGCCTCCTTTGCATGCCACCAAAGGCTTTGGAGGAGAGGGGAGGCCATCCCAGAGCTGGAAAGAGGTGCGCACGGGTGTGTGTGTGTGTGTCTTCCAGCAGTGATTCCCACTCTCAGTGGGGAATGGCACCCGGGAGCTGCCAGGGCAAGACTATGGCATTGGGCGTTGGGGGGGGGCGCAGATGATTGGGTACCCTTGGCAGTCCCTTTCCACCTCATGCCTGATTCGCTCCCTGCCCCCCCAGATGGTTCAGCTCCCTCTCCTGGAAAAAGCTGGCACTGCGGCAGATGGAGGCCCCCACCACAGTGCTGCTCAAGCAGGTACGGGGGGGGGAGGGGAGGGCAGGGAGGAGGGGTAGCTATCTGCCCCCCCCCACTGTCCAGCCCCTCCTGGCTTCTCACACAATACAGAGAGTGGAAGGGGGGCAACGCTTCTGGACCCAACCACCTCTGCCTTTTCCTCCTCCAGGGCCCCCCCTACGCCAACTTCAAGCGGTTTTCTCTTTCACCACAACTGCCCGAGGAGGAGTTCTCTGGCTGGGATGAAGACTTCTGAGCCGCCCCCCCCCCGGAGGGCCTGCTGGGAGCAGCTCACCCCTTCCTTTGGGGACAGCGGGGGGGGCTGAACACGCTTCAGGGCTCCACGAGAACCCCCCCTCCCTGACTCATCAGCTGGAGCCTGGCGCAAACTGAGAAGCAAAGACTCCTCTTCTGCTGGGGGGGGGGAGAGAGGAATCTGCTCTGAGCCGCAGGACTGCAGCAGGGCTCAGAGACCTTTCTCGTGGCCCACCCACCCACCTTCCCCCTCTGTTTTTGATTCCCTGAGGGGGGTGTCCTCCTTTATAGAGGGGGGGGGAATTGGCAGAGCCTGGCTCCCACTGCTAAGCTTGTCTGAGCTCTGGACCCCCGTGCCTGGCGGTCGTGCCCTGGCGTAACCCTCTCCTTTGGCTGTGGCTTCTCCTTGAGCCCTTGCCTCTGTGCAAGCGCAAAGGGCCCGCTCCGGGGAGCACGGCTCTGTTGTTGCCTTTGTTGCTTCTGTGGCCCAGTAAAGGT